CCTTGTACCACCACATCCATCTCCCATCATCCCTGCAAGGCCCTTTCCTCTCCTTTTCCAACGCTGGCACAAGGGAGAGTTCACTGGGTCCTTCCACAAGCACCCAGCTCCTTCCCTGAGCTAGCATCCTGGTCTTCTTACCCAGGAGTCTCACAGCACATGCTCAAGGAGCTAACAATCAACCTAGCCTGCAGCCGCAATGGGCCGAAAAAGTCACAGGGCATGCTCTGGTCCCTCTGATGTCATCAACACCAGGAAGTTCTACAGATCACCTGTCCTTTTCACACACAGTCAGCCCACTCCACGCACGGGCTTTTATCTGAGGATACATCCAAATGCAGACCAAAACACCGAGGGGGAAACTTCGCACTTGCACTAAACTTAAAGGAGTTTCTGCTTGCTGAACCCGGAGGGATACAGCTTACCAGCCATTTGTAAAGAATCACACTGCCTCGGATACTGTAAGTCTACTAGTGATGATTTCGAGTATAAGGGAGGCATACAGAGCTTCCATGCACACACTACACCACGTCACAGGACTTGAGCTGTCTTCTGATGTCTGTGGGGGTCTTGGAACCAATACTATGTATACAAAAGCCAACACCTTGTAGAAAGCCACTATTCTCAAATGAGACTGAATTACAAACTGATGCTGTTTTCCCAGTCTGCTTTCTGTAGAACTGGAGAGTGTGTCAGAGATCTGGCCTCTTCCTTCTTCTGTGGGGAGTCAGGTGTTGTGAAGGCCTGATGTCCTCCCTCCCAGCTCCAGGCAGCAACATGGTCAGAATATTTAAGACACACAATGCCTGGGGGTTGCTTTTAGGCAGCCCCTTCGATTTACAATCCTGTGGATGAATCCATGGAGGATCATGGGGAGTGATCAGTCCCACCTGCTTCAAAGTCTTGCCGTTTCTAAGGCTTCTGTCGATTATTTGCTGTTAACAACTACATGAGTCTATCGCTGCACTTGAACTTGGTTGTACATTCCAACTGCACGGCTCTCGTGGGTCAAGGCAGAGGGCGGCGCTGTGCTGGGTTAAACCCCCACTCGGAGCATCTTCGGAGGGGTTATTTTAGGCCACCTTGATTTTTCTTAATGAAGAGCAGCCGGTTTCCTGCCGAAAGAACTCCCCGCACACCTGAGTCTGCAAACTACTTATTTGCTAAAGGGCTCAGAGCCTCACAGCAAAGCTGTCTAAAGCCTAGAAAAACAAGCTGACTTGAAGTTTCTATTTTTATATGGTATCCTGTTTCCACAGGGGCTAAGACTAGTGGTTTTAAACTCAATTTAGCATTAAACTAATTTTCAGGCAGGTCTCCATGGACCAGCAATTAGGGGGAGGCAAAGAGTTCAAAGCTAGAGATTCTAGGCCCCCTGCATAGACATGTGTATACTCTTGGAAGACACTCATTCCGGGTTGCTTCCTGTCCTGGGCCAGACAGCCACAACCAGCCGAGACAGCCTGCTGCTGGAATGTCCCTTGGGCACAAGCAACTGGGCTTGACCATGTCCAGCGTCTAGAAAGATACCGGCCAAATCCATTCACTCTTTCTCCTAGCTGTCCAAGGGAAGGATCTAAAATCTTCCTGAGGGGCATCTCACTGTGACAGAGGCCAAGAGGCACAAGGTAAGAGACAACAAGGGAAGAATGGGCCCTTTCAGCCGCTCAAGCCTGAGGCCCGTCACAGCTTTGCAACCAGCCCTACGGCCTCAGTGGTCCCGCGGCAAAGGTCTTGCTGGGCCCAGGGAAGCCTAAGCCTTCCTCTCAGAGTGCTACAGCTTTATCCATGGCTTTACCATTCCTTAGACTCCTAGCAAGGGCTTCATTTTGAATTTTAATTTTGCGTGGCCATGGTGTTTGGGTTCTACAAGACCATGGTACAAATTGCAGAAGGCACCTAAAGGAAACCTCAGTTTCACCACCTTTCTTCAGAACTTATTGCTAGGTTCCCCTAACTCACGCCCTCTGCTCCTCCCCTTTCCAATTATGGGTCTCACACAAATGAGATCACCTTAAACATGTCAGTTTCCCCCTTCCTTAGCCCCTTTATGAAGTATATTCTGGATAAACATCACTTCCTCAATTCTTTCCACCCTCCATGTGTCTGGAATTCTGGACCCAGACCTGGAGTTTGAAAAGTCTGATTCTTGAGAATTTGGACACATTCTCTCACAACTGCCTTATCAGAGAAGCGAGAAGAAAGATAGGAGGAAGTGTATCATGGCAGGCATCAGAGAATGCTTGTACATTCCGGGGCCAGGCCAGCGATCCTCATTTCTTCAGGAGCTGTCAGCCAGCAGGATTCCTCTCTCCAGCTCAAGGAGACAGGGTAGACAGCATCCTTAAAGTTCCTCCACCACACAGGAGAGAAGTGCCAGGGCTCTAAGGGGTCAGGTAACGTGTGTGCTCGACCCCAGCTGATGCCAGCAAGACAGCTGTGTTCTAGGGCTGGCTCCCATTTCCAAATTCCACGTGCTTGCCAACTTATCCAGAGTTCAAGAAAATCTTTTAACTCTTTAGAAATAAACATGCCCCTAGAGAAGGTCAGCATCATGCCTGTCACTCTGAGATCCCATGCCAAGGCTGGATACCTGGCTCTGAAGACACTCCTCCCCAACCCCAGACAGGCCCCGACCAGGGAGGAGCACTGACCAAAGCAAAGGGTCTGCTCCCAGCCCAGACTGAGGCCAGCAGGTAAGAGGTTCACCCAGAGACCTGCACACCTTGGAGGCACAGCAGAGAAGGAAAGGGGAAGAGATTCAGGTAAGAAAGGTGGGGGAGGGGGGCAGGAAAGGAGAAACAATTCTCCTTCTAGCGTTTAAAAGGAGCTTAAGACATCAAAGAGTCTAGAGTGGGCACATGCTGGCAAGGAATCAGAAGCAGGCTCTGGGCGTGCAAACAGTGGCATGAGGTCAGGTGGGGGGCAGACAGCCTCCCTGACTTTACCCCTCACTACCGATGGCATAAGCTTTGTTCTTTGCATCTACCATTGTAAGCTCACGTAAAGGAGTTTGATTAAATAATCATCTTTGCTGAAACTGAGAACTCTGCCCTGTGTGCAAGGTGATGCCCCACGGAGGGCCAGAGCCCCCAAGCTCAAGTTTGGGTTTTTTGTTTGTTCTCAAGACAATGCCTTATACTGTAGCTTAGGCTGACCCTGCTCCTCAGTCTCTCACCACATAGCCGAGGAAGACCTCTCAGCTGTACTGCCTCAGCCTCTGAGTGCTAGGATTAGTCATGAGCCTACACTCAGCACTCAGCTGTTTTTCTGCTCATTGGTAAGTCCGTGGAAGGGATGAAGGGGGCGACAATGGCTCTACCTGCTTGGCAGATCGTCATAATGGTTTGGGGTAACAGAACAGGCACATGCTCCTGGTTAAGGTAGGGTGAGTGGACAATCCAGACCACTTACAGTCACGACAAATGGAAAAGCCAGTCAGTTTTCATTCAAAGGACACCTCACGTTGGAGGTGTGAGATCCTCCTCCCTGCCTCCAAGTCTAATCCAATTCTAAGCAGGATGGTGCGCGCCTGTGACGCTCGGTGCAGCATGTAGATGATGCTACCAGCCAGCCAGGACTCAGAACTGGAAGCTGGCAGCTCTTTGCTTTTCTAAAAGATCTACAGAAGCCTGGCCTGGAACAATACCTCCAGCGGCTGGCAGCATCATCCTGTTAGGCAGCTCCTCCCTGTATCATCTGTACTGTGGCTCCAACACACCGAAGGAAAGGGCAGATTTCAGGCCCCTTGCTCATCACAGTAAGAGAACAGCAGGTTTTCCTCAGCTGCGGGTTTCCCTTGCCTCTTTGGTGTTTCTGAACACAATGGGCCAGAGTCCTCTTCCATGTGGGAAGGAAGCTGTAGGAGCCCTGCTGAGTCCTGCCAGTGAGTTGTCCACAGCAGTGTGGCACAACCTCATAGAGTCCTGGGCTCGGGGGCTCCTGCCCCCCATGAGGCATTACCTTGTGCACGGGGCAGAGTTTTCAGTACAGGTGATTACTTAGTAAAACTCCATTACATGAGCTTACGATGACAGGTGGAAAGAAAGGTGGCCCGGCACTACCTCCAGCAGAGAAGTACCTGACACATCATTAGAGATGAGTAAGCTCAAGTTAATGCCATAAAGAAGACTTTAAACAAGGAGTAAAGTCAATTAGAGCTCTGTGTTTAGATCCACCATTACTAGCTCTGTGTTTAGGCCCACCATTCCTAGTTCTGTCCCACCAAGACTGATTGGCACATCTGGGGGACATTATAGAGTAAATCCCCTGCCCACTCCGATAGACTTGAATCTGTCTGCTCCTCCCAGCTCGGAACGTCACAAACATCTGAGTGGAAATGAATGAGTTACACACCAACTGACATGATTTGGAGCTTGGGGAAGGAGATACTTGAGAATTCCAAATATTACTAGAACATAACTCCAATAATGAGTGTTCTAAGGTTTAATTGCTTCATGTCCTCCTCAATACCCCTTCTAATCACAGTGGCTTTCCAAGTCATTTGATAAATTTGACTCGGATCTGGAAGGAAGAGATTTGTATCGAGTGTTGGCACTAAAACCCATCAAGTGTGTGGTGAAGGCACCTGTCCCATGAGAGTATTAGAGGATCATGAAAGCATGTCTCAGGAGGTTCTAGCATTAGGGTGTGTGCTGCTAATGGGAGTCATTCCCAGCATGGTTGTCATGGTACCCCTTATGTTCCTCATGCTGTCCTCTAGGCTGTGAGGAGTTTCTGAGATGTCGGAGTTATTTTTCACAAGCACCACAAATACTCCTCAGAACACAAAACAAGTGGGTGGCAATGCCAACTCCCCACTCCATGTCACTTCCCAGCATTCCACACTTCTTTTACTTTCCAGAAACACCTCCTCTATGGGGTAGAACCCTATATTCTTCAGCCCCCCCCCCCGGTCTCTCTGACATGCCTCATGGGCTACCTGGTTTACTTAGTAAAGGGGATGCAGACTCTGCAGGGCTCTATGGCTAGTTGGCTACCTTGGCATTCTGCAGGGGAGGCTGGTAACTGGATGGCCGGTAGAACACCCTCTGGGTAGCGTCCGTATGGATGTCGCCCAGGAAGAGCTCTTCTACCAGGTGGTCCAGGCTGTGGTGAGGATATTGCTTCTCCACACGGATAAGCTGCAGCTCATGCATGGCAAAGTTCACAGCCTTGGTGCACTCGTGGCTACTCTCCTCTTGCCACAGGTCATAGGCTACGTCCTGTACCCAGAGACTTCCAGGAGCCAGGAAGCCTGGGCAAGTTCGGTTCACAAGTCGACTAAGTTGTTCAGCCACTGTCTCTGTATGGCAGATGATTTGGACACCATGAAGCTGGTAGTCGGCCTCAGTGCCCCCACGGATGATCCAGGATGCCTGGCGCAGGCGGATCTTGCCTCGGATGATAAGTGTGTAGGTGGGATTTGTACAGCGGTTGCTGCCATAGTAAAACTGGTAGGCCTTGAAGGTGTTATTGTTGTAGAATCTGTAAGATCTTGTGATGAACTCTGGCCCCGACCTCACTTCACAGCTGTTGAAGAAAAGAGCAGGTAAATCTTGAGTAAATCCAATGACACGTGGAAGAGAGTAAGGACAAGAGAAGTGATTGCAGTAAGAACACTGCTGACCATGTCCTTTACAACTGTTAATCTATTGGAAGTTCACAACCTAGGCATCATGGATGATGACCATCCACATCTGATGAAACTGAGGCACAAGAAACACAAGTTCACACAAAAAAGCAAGTGCTGGGCCTTAACCAAGAATCTAGGCTATGTAGCCTCCCCAACTGGCCCTAGTAAGTCTAGTCTAAGACTTTGTCACTCATTGGGTGTGAGGAGAAACAGGGACCTCACAAGGGAGTTCCCTTCTCTCTGCATAAGAGGGGACAAGTGTGCTGCTGGTCTATACAAGAAACAGTCACCTGGTAGACCAAAAAGATTCGTGAACACTTCAAGTGATGGACCTTGTCTAGCGTGGTACATATGTCCTTTGTTCTGAAATGGAATCTCAGAATTGGCAGAAATGGAAGTTTGCCCTTCTAGCCACTCAAAATTCTTATTCTCTTGGTGGGGAAGAAATAAGAGGCAATTAAATGGGAGCAAAGCTAACATAATAAGAGATACCAGGATTCCTTTGGTTTGTGTTGGTTGACAAAGAGGAAATGTCCTTAGATAAACGCTAGGCTCCCAAGCCAGAAACTTGGGACAGAGTCTACAGAGGACAATAATAGCTCATGGGCACAGGGGTATTTTCACATGGTTTCTCATCAATCCACACAGACACAGTAGAGCCTGTACCAGTGGAGGGAAAAGGTTCCTTGAATCACTCTGCCAGAGTTTGTCTATGAAGCTGGTTAGACCCTGGTCTTTCCAGTTACAATTCTTAGGTCATCAGAATCCTACTTATGCTCATAAAGAACTCTGAGTTAAGCTGACAGCACGGCTAAATCAAGCAAGTGGGCTAAAATCCTAAACACGGGTGCTTCTTAAAATTGTCAACAATTTAAATTTTGAGCTGGCAGACAGATAAGCAAAAACCACTTCTAAAAACAACAACAAGAAAAAGCCTATTCCAGATCAACAACAATAACAAACAAACAAAAAAACTATTCTACAAGATAGCTGAGCGCCACCCTGGGGGAACTACCCTGCGGGGTTGGGTTGCGTAAGGTATTCAGGCTGGTCAGGCCATACTCACTCTATATCCAACCACAACTTTGCTAGTTTCTCTACACAGATAACTCTTCCTTCAGGAAGAAACTAGACATTCAGGGCCCATCCTGACCCTAAAGTAAGGCTCTCTCACATTCTTCTGTGCCTCTCTATGTCCCTCTACAAAAATCTCTGACAATAAGGACCAAGTCAGTTTGAGTCACTGATATATACATAAAATATATACAACTGCTTGACTCATAGCAGCCACCTAATAAACGACCATTTCCAGGTTATAATTTTACATTAAAAATTCATATGCAAAGAATTTATCATAGCTATTTTAAGAGACCCAGTTTTAGGAAAAAAATTCCAATGTCATCATTTTATAGGATTTGTTTTGTCCCACATCCATACGTGTTTGCTTATTTTCCCCATGGTCTCTGGAGGCTGCTATCCATATCCCAGGAATTGTGTGTAGGGTGGAGTCATCAGATTGCAGTTAATCTTGCAAATGCTCAACAATTTAATGGGTAGAAAGAAAATCGCTGATCTGCCTCTAGGCTATTTTTAAAAGCTCTAATGGAAGATAAGCCAGAGCTCAAACTGGGATTAATCTCAGCTTCACAACGCACCAAAGAATCTAAGAACTGGCTAGTGGAGGCACTTCTTAACTTACTCCAAACGCCCTGAAGCCCTAGATTAAGTTACCAGAATATGGCGAGAATATTTAGACCATAAGAAGCTTTGCAGTCATGTTTCAGGGTAGGTGAAACACAGACGCTTAATTTCACTTGCTAATGGTTTCTCTTTATACGCAAGTGGTCCCATAGAATTCAGTAAACAAGGATCTATTCACTCATACTGTGTAGCTAGCAGTGCTATGATACCATTGCTGCTTTTGGTAAAAGATTTCTACAGCTCTTAGCTCTGTTTGCTTAACCAACCACAATTTCCAAGAGTTGCCTGATTCTCAGTCACTGTGTATTACACAAAACCAGCAACTAAACCCATCATAGGGTTTTCCTAAGAACCCCACTCCCAGACTGCTCTCTCCCCTTCTTACCCTGTGGACACCCAGTGGCCCTCGATGGTTGGGGGCATCTGCACAGTGATCCGTGCACCATTGTGGAGATGCTTGAGCATATGATGGCACTGTGACTCCTTGAAAGCCCTCCAGGCACTTTTCTCTAAGGACCGAGGATGTGATCTGCTGTCTGGATGAAGGAGGGCAGAACCCTCTCCCAGCCCTGAAAAACAAGAGCAGGAAGTAAGCGAAAGAGACAGCAGCAGGTGCAAGTCAGGTGGACAGCTGGGTCCCTAGCTGGGAGCGGCTGCAGTGACAGAAGCATGTTTACTCCACCAGGCTGCACACAGTGCTCACTCTCAGAATTCCCATGCCAAAGTGGGGAACACTCTTGGAGATCATTTCCCAGGTGGAAAAATGGAGGCCTGGGAGAATCAGAGCCTAGCTTGCCTGGGGCTACCCAGCTAGTTCCCGGCAAAGCCAGACAGAGTTCAGGTACATTCACCTCCGTTTTCTCGCATCTTCACAAGCACCTGCGTGGTAGAGCCTTGAATGGACCTCACAAGGTCAATTCAGAGAGGCATGATCTAAAAGCAGTGGTTCTCAACCTTCCTAATGCTGCAACCCTGTAATACAGTTGTTCATGTTGAGGTGATCCCAGCCACAAAATTGTTTTGTGGCCACTTTATAACTGTGGTTTTGCTTCTGTTACGGATCATGATGTAAATATCTGTGTCTCCTAATGGTCTTGGGCAAGCCTGTGAGAAGGTTGTTCCACCCTCCAAAGGGGTCTCGACCCACAGGTTGAGAAACACTGTCCCAGAGGCACTGCAAAAGAGGAGGTGGGTTGAAGGGAGGGGGCCTTCACAAACTGACGTTCTTACATGAGGAACTGTAACAGCAATGGCATCAACATCGGCAAAAACAGCCTGGAAGCTGTGGAAAAAGACGGGGCCAGGGGACAGCTCTGAAACCCCCGGCTGTGACCTGCTCCTTGGCTAGCCTCCCACATGCTTATCCCGAATCACGTATTTTCTGGCTACCACAAACTCCAAATGCATGCCCTTGTTGTGGGTTGTCTAAGGGCTTATGAATTAGAATCTTGACTTTAGCATTTGAGGTTAAGAGAAGGCCGGACCTTTTAAGAGGCAAAGTCCAATAGGTGGTGTCATGGCCATTGTGGGTGCCACCCTTAAAACCTGCAAGCTGCGCATATCCAGATATGAGTGGCTCAAACACTCAGGGGATGGGACGAATTCTCAGTGTATATTCCCAGCAGTTAGAAGATGTATGTCTCTGTATGAGCTCTCAGGGTTCCCTTTGTAAAATGCAGCACTGTTGGCAGAGCAACTGCTTCTACTCATTAGCACTATTCACAGTTGGGAGGCACCTATGGGCACTATTCAATTCATGAAAACCTGAGTGAGAGATTCTTGACCTAAGTTGATGGTGTTATGGCTCGCTTTCAATGTGGAATGTCTCCCTACAGGCTTATCGCTTGATATGTTTGTTCCCCAGCTGGTGGCATTATTTTGGGAAGCTGTGGAACCTTCAGGAGGCAGAGCTTAGCAGGGAAAAGTAGGTCACTGGGGACAGGCACTGGAAGGCTATGGCCTGGGCCCCGGTGCCATCGCCCTGTCTGCTCTCGGGTCCAGTGAAAAGCGGGAAGCCCCTGCCACATGCTCCCACCACAATGACCTGCATCACTCTATCCTGCCTTCCCCTCCATGATGGGGGAAACTCTCTGAAAGAAGAAGCCAGAATAAAATATTCTCCATTGCTGTTGTCAGATACTGTGATCACCATGAGGCAAATGTTACCAGTACATGTGGTATTCACCCTAAGGCTCAGACCACTGCTTTTGGCCTGAGTTGTTTGCAGGCAATAATAAAAATGGGTAATTATTGTCTATTTACAGTCATGGTTATGAAGCAGGGGCTTCCGTTTCTAGGTTTTCATGGAAGGAAGCTGCTTCCTCCAGTGATGCTCCTAGTATCACTTTCCAACTCACATTTACTCTCCCAGATGGGTGGCCAGGGCAATGGAGGAAGAAGCAAGCTTGCTGAACTCAGACATTGCTTTCTTTCCAAAACCAGCCCATTACCAAAACAGCGCACACATACACACACACACACACACACACACACACACACACACACACACACACACACACAGAGACAGAGAGAGAGACAGAGAGAGACAGAGAGAGAGCACACACACAGAAAGAGAGAGACAGAGACAGAGACAGAGACAGAGTAAGAGTAAGAGCCCTGCCCCTGCTGTTGTTCCGATGTGGCACTGGGCCAGGCAGGAAGTCTGACCAGTCAGGAGTGAACTGCTGACAACTCTGTGATAGACACAATCTGCACTATGTGTGCTCAGGTAGTATCGATAACAATCCTGATCGTTCAGTCCCTATTTGTCTGACATCCACATTGATCTGTCATTTGGTTGTGAACTAATATAGGGGGCAAAAGTGTCATTCATCATACTTCCATCAACTCTAACAGTTAACAGTTATAATTATTCTGATGACACTGAACATTCCTGCATGTCCCTTGTTAGGCAATCAAAGAATGACAAGTAATACAATCTGTTATCTGGTGGGTCAATAATATGATCAATTATAATGTGACTATCTTCAAATAGATCTTAATTAAAGTCCTCAGGCATGAAAGCTGGAGAGGATTCTATTTGAAATGTGACTCTAGCATTCAATAAAAATGCCAACATCTCAGTGTTGACCAAATTATGTTCTAAAATTTGATTTGCAAACTCCTTTGCACTCTATGAATGCTTCCTCATAAACTCCTGACTAATAAGAAAGCCAGGAGTGCAAGATACAAGGGTGAAGTCACCTGAGCTGGGCAGCTTGAGTTTAAAACTGCATTTGCTGCTTGTGGGATTTTATTCAACCCAAGACTTCAATGGTGGTTGAGATGCACATTATTTTATTACCAGCAACAAAACACTTGACAATGACATCATGCTTCAACAATGCCCATGAATCACTCACAAGTAGCCTCAGATGGCTTCGACATTTATCTGTTCAAGGAGATTTGGAACTTTGCTGGCCTTTGGTGGCAAATGTTTGCTCTTCATGCTTCTTGGTCACAAAACACAAACACAGCATTATGTTTTTGTGGGTATCCTCATTTTGAAGGCACCAAGACATGTTGGGTGAGAAAATATGGAATTGCTGTTATTCTTCCCAGGATAAATATTTGCCCCACCGAGGACACACTAACACCCCCTTCCTCTCTTGTAAGACCTGTTTACCCTTTACAGTGGTTTTTTCTCAGGCTCAGAGTGTCATTTATCAGCAGGGTACAGAAAGAAAGCGTGTATGCTGACTCAATAGCTTTCTCTGTTGATTTTCCAAACCAACAACTAAACTCAGAACACGGAGTACAAGATACACACACAGGAAACAAGGGTGGGAAAAAGAGGAATACTTCTGTCCAAGTCGCCACAGGCAAAAGCAATGTCATGCATCAGGAGTCTAGCTCAGTGGCAGAGCCCACCACTCCTCCTGACTAATACCTATGGACCACAGAGACTGTGATGCCCATCAGGGGTAAGATGCACACTCACCACAAAGATCTTAAAGTGGAAAAAAAAAATGGACGCAGGGCATTTTGCAACTGGTGAAATATACTGTAGGTTGATGAACTCACAGAAATGATTCAATCTCTCTGAGCTTCATCCCATTTGTGTGTAATGACAATGCTGCTCCTCTTGGGCTTGGTCTAATTTTAGCACGGTGCATTTCATGCACTGTTAGCGCTACTATTCCAGGTATAATAACACTCGTAAGCCGATCTCAAAATCACTCTCTTAACAAAACAGTTAAAACAATGGTGGTCCAGAGCTGGCCTGCCTTGGAGCTCTGAGGTGGACCAAGTACTGTGCTGGCAGCCAGCATCCTAAAATGATTCCAAAGAAGAGAACAGGGAGTGCAACACATAGCACCAAGCATGTGGTTGTTGACAAGTTCTGCTCAGCTTAACAAAAACCTATGAACTGTTTGTGTGTTTTAGAGAGAGGAAATACAAATATGAATTAAGGTAAGTTTTGTTGACTTGGAGGTTTGGATAGGAAATGGATAGAGATGACTAAGGGGGGGCTCTGGGAATAAAGTCAGGGTTTCAAAGGCAGAGGCAGGAGTGATGGTTAGGAATTAGATGGGTCATCCAAAGGAATGGACTCATGCAAGAAAAGAATGCTATGGTTGTGTATTTAGCCAGTGGTAAAAGAAGTAAAATCCATTATGCAAATAATTGGAAAGTAGGAGACAGTCGCCAGCCCACTATGTGGTTCTTGGTCATGAACACAGCTTAGCAACCTGGTGAGGCAGCCAGTGCAGTCAGGGAACAGATGATCAGCAGGTGGAGAAGACGCAACAGGTGTGATAGTGAATTTATAGGGTGTGTGTGTGCCCTGCACGCGTGTATGCATTAATAACTATATAAATCTATTTCCCAATGTTATAACAAGCTACTTGATGCTAAAACATTTTTTAATTAAGATTATTTTCAAATATAGAGTATAACATTGACTCTGCTGGGGGCTGTGGCTGTGCTGGCTCATAGCACGTCTGATGGCATTGTGATGGGAACACACTGAAGAACAGGTAGGGGCTTCAAGAGATCTATTACAGCAACTTGCTTTTGAAAGAATGTAACTCACTCTCTGAGTGGGCATTAATTCTCTCCAAGGGCAATGCCTCCAGTGGCTTAATCCCTTCCCACTAGTCCTCACCCAGGGAGGGGCCCACCTAGTGAAAGAGGAGCAATCCTAGGGACAGATCAAACCCAGAGCTTTGGGCATGCTAAGCAAGTACTTGATTACCGAGCATCCCACCCTCACTTTTTTTTTTAAACAGGGTCTCACTAAGTTGCTCATCTGTCCTTGAACTCACTCTGTAGCTCAAGTTGGCCTTGATCTTTGGAGCCTTCAAGAAACTGTGACTAAAGGCATGTACCAACACAGCCTGGCTTAGGTTTCATCTTTTAAAGGCCCACTACCTGACATTGCCACATAGCTTCCTACACATGAACCCTTGAGGGGCAGACCATGTCTTAAGTCTATTAGTGTCTGTCTTCTATTTCTTTGTAGGTGGATAAAATCATCTCTGGCTTATGTGAAAAATACAGACAGCCTTCTTTCTGGTGCTACTTCTGTTTAAGATCTAGGAATCAGAAGTTCATTTGATGTACCCAT